ATAAATCAAACAACGATACATAACATAAAAAGGAATGATAAATACACCCACAATAGAATAAATAACATAAATATAAGATGTGGGAGCCAGGTTTGTTAACTCTGGTCCTGTCCTGTCACCTCTCATTGTATCATTCTTCTCTCTCTCATTTAATTTCGTTTTATCCTCATTTTACTTACTCCTGACCCTAACATTAAGACCTACAAATATTTTAAGGTCAAGTAAATGAGTGAGATTTCTGTATAAACATCTTTTAATCGCTCTGGGATGCTTAGAATATCATGGAAGAATAGTATGTGTGGGTGGGGAGGCCTGGTGAAAAAGCCTTGCCTATTACAATACATAACCACACTTGATTTCTTTACAAAAAAATACTACTTGTCTCACCCTAGATTTAAGACTATAAATATTTTAAAGGTATGTATATGATGCACAGATGTGTGTATTTGTACCTTTTTATTGTTTTTTTTTTTGAGCCTGGTTCTATGCTTATACTGTACATATGTTAGTGTTAAACTTGTAAATCTAGTGTTGTAAGCATTTATAAGTGTTAAAATAAGGGTGTTCCACTTTACCGGGCGATTTCCGCTTTACCGACGGCGCAAGCCTGGAACCTAACCCCCACCCGTCCGTATAAGTGGGTCCCTTCCTGTACCAGTGACCGAGACAAAGAACAGCAAAGAGTAACATGGAAGATACTGAAAAGAGTGCAAAAACGAAAGGCGAATGAGGCAGTGACAAAGAAAAGCAAGAATAACCCAGAAACACAGGTGTAAGGGCAAACACCCCCCAGAAACCACCCCATGACTCGCAACCACGACAACCCCAAAGCAACTGAACAATCAGGGCCACAAATCACACATGCAGGTTTCCTGCTGTACCCCACCCCCCACATCAATCGAACCCCAACCCTACAGCAACCCCCCCCTATGGAACTCGTCTGTCTGCCCCCACACACAACCCCCAGAGCTCCCACCAGGCTCCTGACACTCCCAACCCCCAATATTCCTCGCCAGGACCCACAGTTTTGAACCGAAGTTGAAGGTTTTGGTACAATGGAAAGGATGCGGATGGAAAAACGAACAAATATGAGGGAGTGGCATGAAAGAATCAACCGAGAAGTCCCCAGACATCATAAGCAGTCACAGAAATGAAACTAAGACAATAACAATTAAATCCTCCCACCAGGATATCATGATCCTGAGGAAAGACAGAGAGTAGAGGGGGAGGAGGTGGTTGTACTGCTCGTAAAGACACCGAGATGGAAAATTGAGGAAATGGGAGGAATGGACAGATTGGAGGAAAGTGAATACATAGTAGTTACACTTCAGTCTGGGGAGCACAAGGTAGTCAATGTTAGTGATGAATAATCCACCACGAGAACAACAGGAGCCAAGACAAGAACAGGAAGAGAGTAACAGAGCGACAGTAGCCCACACTGGCTGAGGTGCAAAGAAGGAGCTCACTCGAGCAGAGCAAAGTTACTGGTTATGGGAATATTCAATCACAGGGGAGACTATTAGGGAAAACCATTGAGCCCACACCGGGGGTCCTTGACAACATGGAGAGCCAATATGATGGATGGGATACTGGGAAACCTCATGCATCAATCATGTTAAGAAACTTACCAGATAGAGAGAGAGGAGGATGAACCAGCAAGATTAGGACCTTGTGTCCACCCGAGCAGTTGCAGACATAAAGAACATCACATATGAGAGGCCGCCTAGGGAACTATGACCAAGTGGTCTGTGGCATTGAATACATAGTTACAAAATGGAGAGGGTAACGAGGTAGTTGAATTGGGAAAAGCCAGACTCAAACACTGGGGGACTACCAAGGTATTCGTGCCCTACCTCAAGCTATATATCCTTGGACAGAAAACTGAACGAAATATCGGAAAATGAAATGAAGGAATACTTAAACAACATAATAGCAATGATGCCAGGCAAGGTTAGTGATCCCAAGGGTGAACAGAAATAATAGGAAGAACCAGAACAGCCCCATGTTTATACCTGACGTGTAAGGAAGTCCAAACCAAAGTGCAAAAAAGAGAGAAAAAATACGAAGGCAAAGAACAAAGGAAAATAAGGATATTAATACAAAGAGCCAGGAACGAGTAAGCACAGGGCAAGGATGGGAGCCCCACAACAGTATGAAAATAACATAGCATAGAAAGTCAAGGTCTTGACCCGCAAATATTGCTGACATCCACATCATGTAGGAATGACAACAGTCAAAGACCATGTGATCAGGCTGAGGAAAAGGAATGTGGGAACCTCAAAGAAATGAATCACGCGGTATGCGAGGAGCTCAACATGAAATTTAATGAAGTATTTACAGAAGAGACAGGAATGGCTCTGAGAAGACAGCCACAGAGGGGAACACCAACAAGGAATATACCAACATGTCTGACTGGACACACAACACCGGGAAAAAGGAATAGGTGCAGAAAGCTGCTAAGTGCCTCGATAAACCTCAAAGGCGAGTGGGTCCGGAAACATCCTCCCCCATGTATCCTGTATATAAATGAGCGCAGAGATGCAGTGTTTCCACTAACCACAATCTTCAATACAACCCTTGAAAATTGGGGCAACTACCCAAGGTATAGAAGATGACAAATGTATCCCATTTTTTAAGGAGACATAAATGGATGCACTAACACAACAGATCAGTTCTCTGATGGGTGAAATAAGTTGTGGCAAAGTCATGGAGAAAGAATACATGAGAGTGGTGGAGCACCTAGAATGAAATAATTATTAAAAACACACAACCACACGGATTCATAGAAGAGCAAATCCCAGGCGTCACAAACCTTCTGGAGTTTTATGAACACGGTAACAGAAGTAAAAATACACGAGAGAGAGGTGTGGGCTGATTGCATTTTTTCCTGGACTACAGGAAGGCCTTCTGACAACAGATTCCCTACACAGGTAGATTTAAGTAGTCAGAAGCTGGAGATCAGCATGTATAACAGGAAAGGGCATTGCAATTGGATCAGAGAATACCTGACAGGGAGGCAAACGAGTTCATGGTATTGAGAAGGATATCACAGTGGGCACCGTGACGAGCGGGGGTCGCCACAGGTCAGTCCTAGGACCAGTTGCTATTTAATGATATATGAGATTGACAAGATGAAGGGATTAGACTCAGAAGTTGTCCCTGTTTCACAGACGATATGAAGCTAATGAAGAAGGATTAAATTGATGAGGATCAGGCAGAACTACAAATAGACCTGGACCAAGGCTGGACTACGTGGTCCGAACTGGCTTCCTCGAATTCAACCTCTATGCAAATGCAAAGTCAATGAAAGACTGTGAAAGGTCAAAGAAGACCACAGAGTAGAGGCTAGTGGATCACAGGCTGCAAAGCTTCACTCTCAAGTGACCATAACACCGAGCACATCACCGGAGGCACACAAAAAATTTTCCCCAACCAGATAAATGCAGTCAGCAGATGGGCATCTGGCAAACCTGATAATATAAAGCGTTCCGATACCATAGTAAGGAATTGTATCAAGACCCTGTACACTGTGTACGTCAGGCCCAACTGGAGTATGCAGGCAAGCACCAGTTAGGAACCCACACCTGGTCAAGCACGTCAAGAAATTAGAGAAAGTACAAAGGTTTGCAACAAGGCTAGTTCGGAGCTCAGGGGAATGTCCTACGAAGAAAGGTTGAGGGAAAATCGGACTGATGACACTGGAGGACAGGAGGGTCAGGGGAGACATGATAACAACATACAAAATAATGTGTGGAATAGACAAAGTGGACAGAGACAGGATGTTCCCGAGAGGGGACACAGAAACAAGGGTTACAATTGGAAGCTGAATGACTCAGACAAGTCACAGGGATGGTTAGGGAGTACTTCTTCTGTCACAGAGTCGTCAGGAAGTGGAATAGCCTAGCAAGTGATGTAGTGGAGGCAGGAACCATACATAGTTTTAAGACGAGGTATGGCAAGGTTCAGAGAGAGAGAGAGAGAGAGAGAGAGAGAGAGAGAGAGAGAGAGAGCAGAGAGAGAGAAGGAGAGAGAAGAGAGAGAGAGAGAGAGAGAGAGAGAGAGAAGAGAGAGAGAGAGATGAGAGAGAGAGAGAGAGAGAGATGAGAGAGAGAGAGAGAGAGAGAGAGGAGAGAGAGAGAGAGAGGAGAGAGAGAGAGAGAGAGTAGGACGAGGAGAGAGAGAGAGTGACTTAGTAGCGATCAGTGAAGAGGCGGGGCCAGGCGCTGAGTCTCGACCCCTGCAACCACAATTAGGTGAGTACAATGTACACAACAAAATGCACACAACACGCACATAACGCACACAAAACAAACGCAAACACACACAGCCCAATACAATGCATACAACACAAGGTATACAATACACACAACACAAGCAACACTGATCTTACAGATCTAATGCCAGGCAATACAAGTCCTCTAGCAGTAGTGTTGCTGACTGTAGTAACCTAACACACAACACAACACTCACCTTACAGATACTTCTAGTGCCAGGCAACACAACTGTCCTGGTGGCAGTAGTGTTGTTGACTGTAGCAACTAGCACAGAAACAACACTCACCCTTACAAAATACTTCTAGTGCCAGGCAACACAACAGTCCTGGTCGCAGTAGTGTTGCTCACTGGAGACAGTAAGTCACTGCCTGAGTGTAGACGTACAGAATGTCCTGTATAGGCCTGAGGCCTACCAGTGGCAGTAGGCTGTAGCAGGACGTGGTGAAGTATAGGAGTGGCATAGGATACTGCCTGTGTGTGTACTAACCTCGGCACCCTTCACGACAGTGCCTCTTCCTGTTGTCCGTCTACGATGGCCGTCATGCTGGCAGTGCCACCTTCTACTGTCACTGTCAGTCTGTGGGTAGTGGCACTGCCCTGAGGCCGCAGGACAGTGGTAGTACCATCAGCTGACTCCAACACCGTGGATCCGTCTTCACGACTATAGAGGGTAGTAGCACCACTACCCCCTACCACAACTACTTCCCCTCCACTACCCTCACTCACCTCAGTGGCACTGCACTCTTTGATAGCGCCAGTACTTGCTTCTGACACTACTGTGGTATCTTTGATAGCGTCAGTACTTGCTTCTGACACTTCCTTGTTTCCCTCCAAGGCCTCTAGGCCTCCTGATTCATCATTGCTTGTCTCCAAAGCTTGTAGGCCTGTTGTTGAGAAGCTCTCATCATTGTCATCATCATCATCATCATCATCATCATCGTCACCACCATCATCCTCACGTGGTGGCAGGCACACCCGGCGAGTGATGGTCCTGGCACTGCCGCCAGTGTCACTCTGGCACTGTTTGTGGCACTCAAACAATCCTCCGCCTTCACTCATCATCTCTCTGAAACAACAACAACAACTGAAAACTATTTTCATTAAAAATTGTGTTACACAGCCTATAACAGTGATATACAGCCTATAACAGTATTGCACAGCCTATAACAGTGTTACACAGCCTTTAACAGTGTTATACAGCCTACAACACAGTATCACACAGCCTATAACACAGTATCACAGTCTATAACAATATAAAAAGTAATTCAGATCATAACAGAAGTACAGACAGAAAGAATTAACTCTGTGGAGTTTGAGGTATGTTCATGGCACATTCTTTAAAAAAAAAAAGAAGAGATGTAAACTAGAAAGAGAGAGATGCTCCCTATACAGGCGAAGGTGAAGAATCAGAGAGCTGCTGCAAGGGGCCAGTATATCTGAATTACAGATATACTGGCTCGTACAATATGGTGTTCCAAAATAATTCTACTGCTATGGGAATTATTAATCGCTGATCCCTGCTTCGATTTGTTACTTCCCGAACACACACACAGGAACACTTTCCACCTGTGGAAACAGGTGGTGAATCAGGGTTGTCTCAGGGGAGGATGACAGCTTCGCTAGTGCTTGAGTTAACTAGACTCACTCTTCAGCACATCAGGGACTAACGTGCCTTTGCTAAGGAAGAATTTGATAGAAGAGGAGACTATTTCGGCGGCGTACTATGGAAGATAGTTTCAGTGTCCAAAAAATCTGTGCTGCTACTTCAGTTTTTTTAATTTTTGAGCCTGAGCAGTTATCCGAGTCTGGAAACTCAGGTTCGAGCTTTGCAATACAGTCGAGCACTGGTTCATACAGCATTATATGGTAAAGTGCGGGAATCACAGCTGTTTGAGTGAAGATTTCTCTGATGACAGTGTTGTGAGAGCAGCTGTGCTTGGTGTATATTAGTGTATTTCTGCCAAATACAGGCGAGAGTTTTAAGTGTCAGTCTCAGTCAGTCAGTCAGCAGGTTCAGTCAGTCCCATTGGGTGGTATGACTTTGTTCGAACACTATCTCAAGCCTTCAGGTGGTATAAAGCCGCTGGTGTCTCCAACTTGAGTGATCTGGTTCAGATGATTATGGTTGATAAACTCCTTGAGTCAGTTAGACCAAATGTACGGGTTGTCTTAGAAGACTCTTTTCCAGTCTTGGCCATAATTGGGTAATGTCCAAGGAAAGTCTGAAGAGAATGCTGAGCTTATCTTGCAGGACTCCAATCTCAGGCTAGACAATTTTACATGGAAAACTGGCCAGGACCTCATAAATCTTGTGAAATGTCTTTAATCAAGCCTTCCTACTCCGGGGTAGTAGGATTACCAGACACTCCTATTTGCATGCCCGAGGGACTGACCTTCCGAGAAGAGTGACAAAGAGACCCATCTTTGGGTTCAACTCAACACACCTGGCTAAATATCACCTATTATTGAGTCTGGCTACTGGTAAGAAGGTAAGGGGGTATCAAAATAAGTATGTTTTATAGTACCAAAGAAACTCAGATCTCGGGTACTTAAGGTCTCGCACAATTCGTCCTTAGGAGGACACTTGGGGGTCACTAAAACACTGTATATCACAACACTTTGATTGGCCAGGTATGAGATAAGAGGTGCAGAATTACATGTGATCGTGTCAGCAAGTGGGTCAACTCGGACACTACATCACACCAGCACACCACTTTGTCTCATACCTGCTGATGGAGAAACATTTGCGGACCTATTCATCGACTGTGTGGGACCCTTACCTAAGGCCAAGTCAGGTAACCAATATCTGTTCAAAATTATAAACAAACCTACTAAATATCCTGACGCTATACCTATGTGTAATATTAATATTAAAGCTATCTTAGGAACTCGTTAGGTTTTAAATCTCACGATGGCACTGCAAGATCCATTCAAAGTGACCAGGACACTAACTTTTACTGCAAAAGCATTCGGAGGCTTTAAAATCCCTAGAATTTTAAAAAAAAACGTCCACATCTATATCCCCCGTACCAAAGGGTTTTGAAATTAAAAACCCCCCAAAAAAAAAAAATTTTAAAAAAAAAAAAAACCCCCCCCCCAAAAAAAAAACCCCCCAAAAAAAAAAAAACCCCCCCAAAAAAAAAAATCCCCCCCCCCAAAAACAACCCCCCCAAAAAAACCCTTTTAAAACCCCGGAAAAAAAAAAAAAAACCCCAAAAACCCCCCCCCCCCAAAAAAAAAAAACCCCCCCCAAACCCGGAAAAAAAAAAACCCCCCAAAAAAAACCCCCCAAAAAACCCAAAAAATTTTTCCCCCCCAAAAAAAAAAAACCCCCAAAAACCCCAAAAAAAAAGGAAAAAAACCCCCGGAAAACCCTTTTAAACCCAAAAAACCCCCCCCCCCCCCTTTTTTTTTTAAAAAAACCCCCCCAAAAAAAAAACCCCCCCAAAAATTTTTAAAAAAAAATTAAAAAAAAATTCCCCCCCAAAAAACCCCCCCCCCCCCTTTTTTAAAACCCCCCCCAAAAAACCAACCAAAAACCCCCCCAAACCCCAAAAAAACCCCCAAAAAAAAAAACCCCCCAAAAAAAAAAAACCCCCCCCCCCCCCAAAAAAAAAAAAAAAAAAAAAAAATCCAAACCCCAAAAATTTAAAAAAAAAAAAAAAAACCCCCCCCCCCCAAAAAAAACCCCCCCAAAAAAACCCCAAAAAACCCCCCAAAAACCCCCAAAACCAAAAAAAACCCCCAAAAAAAAAAACAAAAAAAAAAAACCCCCCAAAAAAAAATTAAAAAAAAACCCAAAACCGGAAAAAAATCCCTTAAAAAAAAACCCCCAAAAAATTTGGAAAAAAAAAAATTTTTAAAAAAAACCCCCCCCAAAAAACCAAAAAAAAAACCCCAAAAAACCCAAAAAAAAAAAAAAACCCCCAAAAAACCCCAAACCCCAAAAAAAAATTAAAAATTTCCAAAAAAAAAAAAAAAAAAAAAAACCCCCCCAAAAAAACCCAAAAAAACCCCCCCCCCAAAAAATTTTCCCTAAAAAATTTTTAAAAACAAAAAAAAAAAAAAACCCCCTTTAAAACCATCCCCCCCCCCCAAAAAAAAAAAAAAAAAATTTTCCCCCCGGGGAAAAAAAAAAACCCCAAAAAAACCCCCCCAAAATTTAAAAAACCATAAAAAAAAAAAAAAAAAAAACCCCCCAAAAAAACCCCCCAAAAACCCCCCCGGAAACCCCCAAAAAACCCCCCCCCCCGGGGGGGGAAACCATATTTTTTTTTTCCCCCCCCCCCTTTCCCCCCCCCCCCCCCCCCCCGGGGGGAAAAAAAAACCCCCAAAAAACCCCAAAAAAAACCCTTAACCCCCCCCGGAAAAAACCCCCCCAAAAAAACCCCCCAACCAAAAACCCAAAAACCCTTTAAAATTAAAAACCCCCCCCCCCCCCAAAAAACCCCAAAAAATTTCCCCCCCCAAAAAAAAAAAAAGGGGAAAAAAAAAACCCCCAAAAAACCCCCCCCCAAAAAAACCCCCCCAAAATTCCAAAATAAAATTTAAACAAAAACCTGGAAAACCCCCAAAAAAAACCCCCCCAAAAAAAAACCCAAAAAAAATTTTTAAAAAACCCTTGGCAAAACCCCCCCCCCTTTCCCCCCCAAAAAAAAAAAAAAACCCCCAAAAAAAACCCCCCCCCCCCCAAAAAAAAAAAAAAAAAAAACAAAAAAAACCCCCAAAAAAATTTAAACCCCCCCCCCCAAAAAAAAAACCCCCCCCCAAAAAAAAAAAAAAAAAAACCCCCCCCAAAACCAAAAAAAAAAAAAAAAAACCCCCCCAAACCCCAAAAAAATTTCCCCCCAAATTTAAAAAACCCCTTTTTTTAAAAAAAAAAAAAAAACCCCAAAAAAAAATTTTCCCCAAAAAAAAAACCCCCAAAACCAAAACCCAACAAAAAACCAAAACCCCCAACCAAAAATTTTAAAAAATTTAAAAAACCCCCCCAAAAAAAAAACCCCCCAAAAAAAACCCCCCCCCCAAACCCCCCCCCCAAACCCCCCCCAAACCAAACAAAAAAAAAAAAAATTTAAACCCCCCCAAAAAAAACCCCCCCCAAAAAAAAAAAAAAAAAAAACCCCCCCCAAAACCTCCCCAAAAACCCCCCCCCCCCCCCCCCAAAAAAAACCCAAAAAAAAAAAAAACCCCAAACCCAAAATTTTTCCCCCAAAAAAAACCCAACCCAAACAAATTCCAACCCCCAAAAATTCCCAAATTTTCAAAACCCAAAAAAAACCCCCCCCCAAAAAAAAAACCAAACCCCCAAAAAAAAAACCCCCCCCCTTTTAAAAAAAAAAACCCCCCAAACCCCTCCCCCAACCAATAAAAAACCCCCAAAAAACCGGGAAAACCAAAAAAAACCCCTTCCCAAAAAAGGGCCCCAAAAAATTTTCCCCCCGGGAACAAAAAAAAAATTTTTCCCCCGGAAAAAAAAACCTTTAAAACCCCCCCCCAAAAAAAAAAGGGAAAAAAAAAACCCCCAAACCCCCCCAAAAAAAATTTTTAAAAAAAAAAGGAAAAAAAAAACCCCCTTTCCCCCCAAAAAAAAAAACAAAAAAAACCCCCCCCCCCCCAAAAAAAAAAAACCCCAAAACCCCCCCCCAAAAAAAAAAATTTTTTAAAAACCAAAAAAAACCCCTTAAAAAAAACCCCCCAAAAAAAAATTCCCCAAAAAAAACCCCCCCCAAAAAAACCCCAAAACTTTTCCCCCAAAAAAATTTCCCAAAACCCAAAAAAAACCCCCCCAAAAAAAACCCCAAAAACCAAAAAAAAATTAAATAAACCATTTTTAAAAAAAATTCCCAAAAACCAAAAACCCCACCCCCAAAACCCAAAAAAACCCCAACAAAAAACCTTTAACAAAAAAAAATTTTAAAAAAAACCAAAACCCCCCCCCAAAAAATTCCCCCAAAAAGGAAAACCCTTCCCCCCCAAAAAACCCCTCCAAAAAAATTTTAAAAAATTTTAAAAAACCCCCCCAAAACCCCAAACTTTTAAAACAAAAAAAAAAAAAAAAAAATT